GGGGGGGGGAAAGGGCGCCGCGAGATTGAAAGTAGCGTCGAGTGTTATACGTGAATAATAATAAAATGTAAACGGGCCGCGCGATAAACGGTGAATGGCCCGGCGCGAGTCGCGCATTTTGCCAGCGCAGCACTGCCCCGGCCAGGCCGCGAGGCTAAGGAACTCGACGACGACGACATTGATCGATCGTCGAGCCGATATTTCGTTTGCTCGAATCGCGTATAGCGAAAACTTGGATTTTCATCGTTCGTCGTCACCAGCCATACGCGTTTTCAATTTCTCTAAATGCATGCAACTTTGTTCGATAACCTGCTTAATTTTTTTCCCCAATTATTTTGGACGGAACGAAATTCGAATTCGTTCGCCTTCTATGATTAATAATATACGCGCTCAATTATTGATGTATCGCGAATCGAGGCACGCTTCGCTTCGCTCGAATATATTAATATGCATCGTGACTCAGCCGAGCGTATGATTTTGCATTCGAAAACAAATATTATACGTATACGCATAGGTTCGTTTGAGTGATCAATAATAAAGCCCCCAATAACAATATAAATAAGCGTATCGTTTGATCGATTATATAATATAATAATCTCGTCCCGACCGATAAATATTCAATCCGCATGACTTTATTGTATATTCATCGATTATATTCTTGCGACTTGATTCACTTGAAATATTTTGCAGGCTGATAAGGTAAATCGTAGATTCAGCAGATTCCACCGCAAATCCATACGGTCGCTCGATACTCGAATTGAGTTGTAATAGCCGTAAAAAACTTTCCAAAATACTTAGAAAACCTGAATTCCATGCGGTCGATCCGTTGGAGGCGACCATTCGCCGATTCGAATCTCGGCTCACGATTCTCTGCATCTTAAACAATATTCTCGAGATAAATCGAGCGTTTTGTTTGTCGATCGGTTCGTTGCGTTAACAATTAGCGTTCTAAAAACGGCATAAACTGGTTTGAAATTCTTCCTGGGTATTAGGAAAATCGTTCGCGGGGCCGTTATGGCGTATAGAATTATATCGCTCATAGGTGGTCATTAGTTATGTATCGTTCGCGTCATACGGACTTCCTCGTTCGAGTGAAAAAAAAGCTGTACGTACGATCCAAAGTGGAAAGAATTAAAATCGTAGAATGGAGGTCATTCGCTCGCTTTCTGCAGTAGAATTTCTCAATTCGATCTCCGTCTCTCTCTCTCAAAACGACGCCTAAAAAAATTACTGCAGCTCTCGGTTACACACTCGTGCACGTGTGTGTGTGCGACACGATTTCACACATACACACACGTGTATTGGCTCTTTTTCCGGACTCTTGGCGAGTCAACGCGTCGAATTAACTTACTTTTCAAAGGTAATAGTGTGTCACCGATTTGCCCCGAGACCCGCGAAAATAAGAAATACTGGTACAGGTATAATACCGATGTATAGCGTGTCTGAAAAGAGAGCGAGCGAGCGAGCACAGGTGGGGGTAAACGAGGAAAAAAATTTGAAACTTTCGTCGCTGCGTCGAATTACACACAAATAAGCTGCTGCTGCTGTTGCTCCGCTAGTAATATAAAGAAGATGTCACCAATTGAATGGCCATATACGTTATTTCTCGTTGTTTTGCGCAGAAAAAAAATGACCGCAAAGGCGGCAAAAATGACGAATCACTCGGTCGAGAATATATAGCGCGATGTAAGCGGCAAAATAATGAGTATTGCTCATTGCGATCTCTACACGCGCAGCTGACAGATTCGGCCGATTTATAATTCATTTCGAGCGCGTACGCGGGATTTGTCATCGCGAAGGAAATTCGAACGATTGTCGGGCACACACTGTGCATTCGGAGCGCATTCTCCGCTTATGTAGTATATACTTGTATACGACTTGGCTCACCTTGGAATTTCTTGAGCGTGTCTCGTGAGTTGGCTCGCGCTGAACATACAGCAGCACACATTATACGTATAGGGCACCTGTGCTCTCGCGCACCGCACAGAGAGAGCGTCGACTTTTTAACGGTGTTTAGCGCGAGCTGCTGCTTACTACACATGTCGCGTCGTGTGTGTGTGTGTATGTCGGAATCTGCTGCTACTTTTTTAGAATTCGTGACAATGATTTTCTTCTTCTAATTGATATTCCGCAATCGCGTCATATTGCACGTCGAGTGAAATTTTTGCATCGCGAATCACAATTATTACGTTCGTTTGATGATTATTCAATGTATGTATATAATGCACGATGTTTGTCAAGGATTATTATTGGCGCTTAACGTATAACTCGGAAAGTTTATGTACACATTACCGCTTACGGTATTGCATTATAAATATAAATTTACGCTGATCGCCTGTAGGATGTAGACTCACACATGTGTATGCGGAACTGAAATGGCTTTTAAACGGAGTCAGTCGGCGCTGACTCGGTACCGCACACGAGGTCTGATGTAATCGACGCGATCGAAATCTTTCTAAAAAAAAAAAAAAACACGACTCGGATCTTACACGCGTTGAATCGGGTTTTTGCAAAAACCAAAAATACCACGGCATTGTTGCAAGAATCACATATAGTAATCTTTCGCCCGTAAAACATACTATAAAACAGCTTAAATCCACTGCTGTACGTTCGAATCGCAATTTAATTTTCCATTCTAAAGAGCTCAAAATCGAACTCTACACACCAGCTATAAACGAGAAGCGCCGCGCGTCAATCGAGATTGGCAATAAGGTGTATAAAAATTGACGATCTAATTCATACTCTGCGCTCTATAACTCGCAACGTACAGATAGCGTAGATGGAAAAAAGATTTGCTCAATCAGCCATGGATTATAGAGCGTGTAGAAACGTCTTCATGTTGCATTTATATCGAACTGAATCGACTGCGCATGGGAAGATGTTGCTTGTAGTAGCTCGCGCAGCACACACATATATATACGAGCAATTGCATCGCGCCGTATGTACTACACTATACTACTTGGCTTAGGAATGCTTCTCTCGCATCTACAGTGTATATATATAAGAATTCGCGGCCTTGTTTCCGCGAGCTAGCTTGGATGTTGCACAGCGGCAGCAGTTTGTTTTAAATCTCATCATGCTCTGGCATGTTATAAACACGTACTCAGCTAAAGCAGAGTAATGCGCGATTGCGCGATTTGCTTTTCTCGCAAAAAAAAAAAAAAAAAAACAGAAAAAAATATACATCTTATGGTTCTGTATTGTCTGAAGGTCGGCTACAAGTTGAGTATTTTTTTTTTAATCTATCGAGAGATGAACTTGCTTTGCTGTACATAAACTTCTTCCGCTAGTGTTGACGGTGGTTCATCAAATATGTATTAATTATTTACTTTACGCATAATTAGCATGTTTTTATAACGATAATAAAAATTTCTATTGAGTCACGCCATAGAGTGTTGAAATGCATTTTTTTCAATAGTGTTTGGATTAACGTTGAGCGATACATCTTATATGCTTCGGGCAGTGTTATGTAAGCTGCGTTTTTATATTAATCAGATCAATACGAACTAAAGCCACATATCTTGGTGCACCATCGAATACGAAGCTAGATCAGAAAATACGAGAAAGAAGCCTATACTTTTGTACACGGCTGTCGGAAAATTATTGTCAATTAGAACCTGTGCATTTGCACGTCCCAAACACGGCCAAAAACGTATACTTAAGCGGCGCGCGCGAACGGCGATTTTTTAAAAGCCACTGATGCTCAATTACACACGGATAATAGGTGCCAAGTGAGCCATTTGGATAGTGTCGCGCGCGCGCTATTACGAATGAATTTTGAAAAAAAATGAGCTAACTTCCTGAAGCCGTCTTCCAGGATATAAAAGCCAATGCCCGTATACTTTTGGCGCTGAAAATCAACGCGACCGCGTAGAAGAAAGCTCGACTTGTTTACGTGTGGAAGCTGCTAGCTTTGCTTGACTTTTCAACGCGGTCGTAAAATGAAACTCAAAGTTTCTGGATCGATAATTTTCATTTTATCGATCTACCTTTTGAATGTCCAGTGTGTAAGTATCAATCATTCAATTTTTTTTGCATTGATTTTTTCTAGCAATTGTTCTTTATAATTTTTATATAGGCAAAAATGAGCTTGGACGAGCTCAAAAAAATGGTCAAACCAATAAGTTCCACGTGCCAAAAGAAGAATAACGTACCACAAGGTAAGCACGCTTAATTATAGTTAAAAATTTGCGTCATACTAATCAAAAAAATATTGGGGGGATTATCCATTCCGACAGACCTTTTACTTGCATCGTACTCGGGAGTATTTGCTCGTGAAAAATCATTGATGTGTTATTACAGGTGCCTCGCGACCATGTTGAAACTGGTAAGTTAATGAATAATTGATATAATAAAAATAAACAATTTATTTGTAATATCGCTACGTTTCAGATGAATAAACAGGGACAGTTTGCCCTGGATAAAATGTTTACTCAAGTCGACTTGCTGGTGGTCGAAGAATTGGCGCCTAGAATCAAAGAAATCGCCAAAATATGCTTCGACTCGAGTTAGTATAATTTTCAACGTGACGTTTTTAAAAATCGATCGTACAAGTAAATTTATAAAATTATTCTTTTCGCGCAGCTCCGAAGATAGACGACCCTTGCGAGTACACGTACGATTTGGTCGTTTGCGCTTACAACATCGATAGTTCGGTGAGGATCGAATACTTTTTTAAAATTCCTCAACGCACGCCATACCATATTAATCCATCCACGTTTGAACTTTTTCAGTTGAGCGTTCTCAGTCGATAGGGAAAAAAGGGAAAAATAGCCAAGCGAACCGAGCGTTCAGCGAGTGATGCAGGAAATTTTTTCCCGCATAGTTATTATACAGCTGCAAGGAATTCTTTCCAAGAGCCAAATGAAAAATCGATGACAGTTTCTCAGTTGTTGCAGCGAGGATGCAGAGCCGAGTATTACTCTTTACTGATGATTAATTTATGATTTTGATATTGTATAAGCTTTATATTTGTTAAGGGTCGAAGTATAATAATTATATTATAAGTGAACGAGAGCAACTTTGTACATAATTCTCGAAATTAAAAAAATGTGTAAATAATTTCATCAGCGATGTTTATTTATGGATATAATCAACTAAAATCATTGTACTGTACAGGAACGAACGCGTCTAGTGAGATTTTTAGTTTTGCGCGTATACACACATAGCAGCATAAACAGACAAAATATGAACATTACTCGCGAGTATCCACACGAAGTTATATAGCTGCATCCGTCTGCGTGTGTGCAATATACGCGAATCTTGGCTGGATATAAGGCAGACGTTGCACTGTGCTTGCATGTACATACATATAGGAAGCGTACTGCATACTACACATCGTGCGGCGTGAGAGAGTCGGTGAATATACGCTACGTTCACACATACGTCGCGCAGAGCAGCAGCAGCAGCGGCAAGAGCAGCATAGTAAGCAAGAGTAAGCAAGCAACCGGTCTTTCTTTTTCACTCCCACTCGAGCGTATAGTATTATATATATTCGTTCTCGTAAACGCGTGCTATACGCCGCGCAGCTATTCCGCTGCTGCATTGCTTTCCTTTTCCTTCCTTCCATGGCGAGCGCGCGGCCAAAGCCCCTTTTCAGCTCTAGCCAGGCCGCAGCAGCATGACCTTCGCGCTTCATAAAGGGCTTGTTGTATACTCGCGCCGGAGCACAGCCCGTCTCGTTCGGCGAGGTGAATCACAACACATCGACTCATCGTCGCTTATATTCGAAAGTATGATTTGCATTTTTTCAATGAGAGCGAGACATTTCATCCACGCGTCTCAATGATATCGCGCCCAGCCGATCGTTTATTTATCGAGTGTACGACGTTTATCGATTCGGATCAATTTTTTTTATCGAGATAAGATTATAAAGACCAGACGGCTCGCGAGTTAAGCGTGCAATGTTAAAAAAATGCCGATCGATATGTATATGCAAGCAGATCTGTACGGAATCGGGGGATCTCCAAAATTAGCGCTACATCGCGCAATATACACGTGTACACAAAGCGTCAGCATCAAAACACGCCATTATCTTCACGAATTTCAGTGTGAAAATATTAGCCGTAGTGAAAAAAGTTTCAATTGGCTTTAATTAATCCGAGAACGTCACTATAGAAAGTATAACACGCATCATGCGGGTATATTGGTATCGCGTACCAAATACGTCAAGACGGATCCTACGATCGTCACTGGTCTGGCTCGCGCGGTCGGCTCGCTGAATGGGCGAGATTATATACGCACGCACACAACACACGTATTATACTGTACAGGTATTTTATATATATAGAGAGAAAACGACGTCAGCGAGGTATGCGTAGCAGCTTAAGCGGGGCTTCCCGCTCCGCGCGCTAAAGTTTTTTATACACACACGCACGCAATATATGTATTCGCGGAGAGTCTTGCTCCCTCCCCGTGTATCCACACTTACGCACACACACTTACACACACGTGTAAACGTATACATGGCAGGGTCCTTTCAACTCTCTGGCGTTGCACTACCTGTCCGCTCTCTCTCTCTCTGTCTTTCTCCTTCTCTCGGCGATCGGTCGTCGTCGTCGTTTTTTTCTTCTCTCGCTCCGACTTTTTGACTCGCGCGTATACACTACACACAACACTGGAGAATCTTGGCGCTAACGCGGGTTTGTCTACGTATATACACGACTCGTGAGTCCCCATAGCATAATATAGCATATAGCTCGAGACTCTCGGATCGCGCCGCAGAGCTCGAGGCGTGTGTCGTGCGTTCGGTTATACCGGTCTCGAGCCGCAGTCTCTCGCGATACATTCTCCGCGGAGCAGCAACAAGCAGCGGCAATACGTACAGCAGCTCCGCAACTCGCCGCGCCGAGTCCAAGCCGACCAGTGCCATTATATTCGTGTCGGTGCAATATATACAACCACGGCCAAGTGTCTGTGCGTGTGTGTGTGCTTGTGTTTCCATTTATTGGATAGCTGACGAAGAAAATGAGGGCCTACTAAACTCGTGTGTGGTTACGAGTCATTAGCGCGTGCAAAAAGAAAAGAGAGAAAAAAAGTTAGTGCGTTTCCATACGACACAGTGTGCGTGCGAGAACGAGAAGAGGTGCGAGTATTGCAGAGTAAAGAGGAATTTCGCCGCTGCCGCTGCTGCTGCACAGTAGTGCGCGTATATAGGCACAAGACGCTATCTCGAGCGCATATTGCACGCCCGCTGCTTTATATACAGAACCAGCAAAATCGAGTCGAGTGAGTTTCTTTTTTTTTTTTTAATATTCGACTTTTTTCGCATTCGTCTGTCTGAAATCTCACTGCGACGACGACGACGACGACGTGCTTTCTCGCGCGCGAAAAATGACAATTCGAGAATTACGCCAACGCACCCGATGAGCTGCGCGCACGACTATGCCGCTATTGATGCTGCACTGCTGCTGCTGCTGCTGCTGCTGCTGCTGCGCGACTCATTATTATTTTTTTGCGGTTGCGAATAATCCTGCTGCGCAGAGTTGTGTCACTGACTTTTACAACAGCAGCAGCAGCAGCTCCTATCCTACTTGGCGCATTTCTGCACAAAACTATTGTTAATAATTATTTTTTTCCTGGCCTCGCGTGTCTCTCCGGGGGCTTCATCTTTTCTACAAATTGACACTTATACACGAAGTCGCGCTGAGCTGCGTGCTATATACGCTCCTTGTTTGTCTTGCGTGCATATTAATTATTCTGTTCGTTCGCGAACCATATGTGTTTTTTTTTTTGAGCGGATCATTTATATAAACGTTATAACAAAGCAAAGATTATGAGTCATTATGAAAGATCCACTTTGGATGTTATGCGTCAGTCGTTACGTTCTCACCTTTTCATCTCGTTGATCAAATGACATTTTGTGGCTTGATTTACGGGCAGTCGTGTTCGCTGCCTTTCGGAAAAAGATCGTTATCGTTCGGCTTCAAATCGACTTCGCATGCGCACTTGACATTTCTAAATCAACTATCGATCGATGATTTTACATTATTGCGATCGGCCACCGGTGAATGACAATATCGGATAATAAAAATAAAAAACTTCGATTTTTGGTACGGCTCGAATCTCTCACACGCGGGCCTCTAAGACATATTTTTCTTATCGATACAATGAATTTTTTTGTCGCGAGCTTATACGTATGTACACAAAACACCTCGTGGTAGAATCGTGATGAAATTTGACAGCCACGGGCAGAAGTAGTAGTAGCATCGGAGCAGAAAAAAAATACCATCGCTTCCGCTATAATCATCAGGGAGAGAAATGCTCTGGCAAGTGGGTGGCTAGCTATCAGATAGTGTATGTGTGCGCACTGCAGCGGGAATTCACTTTCGATACGGCTTTCATAATTTGCAGTCTCTCGCGCGCGGGAAAGCCTCGCGCGAACGGCGCACCATTTTTTCCAACGCGTTTTTCAACGGTGACAATTTGAAATAAAAAAAAAAAACAGAGGGTAAATCCATTGCAAGTTTTTGTTTTTTTTTAGGAGGGTCATAAGTCGCTGCTCTTGTGTTGTGCCATTCGATGGCGAGTGTTTCCGCGCGTGTACAGCCCGAAGCGTAACGTTTGTGTGTAGGTAAAGTAGTAAAAAAATTAAATGGCGAAAGAGATAGGAGGATGGCACGCGAAGCGTTAATAATTTTTTTTATTTGCGCGAAAACTGCGATGTGAATCCGAGTGAAATTTCATAAAATAAAATCCGGCCAAATGCGTTTCGCCAACTTTTCATGCGCGCATAAGCCGCGCGCGATAAGTTTTCATACATTCGAGTTTATTATGTAAAATTATGTTCGGGCTGAAGTTCGGAACTGCGTGTGCTAAAAAATACGATAAAAAAAAACAAAAGACAAGTTTTTAATTACGCGTCATCAGCAAAATTTGAAGCGAGAAATAGCTCGATGCTATAGGAATCACAGCCCCCGCGGCGCGCACAAACACACAAGCGCGGCGGAATTTTATTAATGATCCTTACGATCCAGCGACATATGAATGATTCAAACGCGCGTATTTATCCTCTGGCGCACACAATACAGCCGGCGTACATATATATGTGTGCATGCGTTCAGGTAGTAGACAACAACGTGACCGCGCGGCCTAGTATAGTATGCGAGCTGGGAGGGCAGAGGAGGAGGAGGGGAGGTGGATGGCTCTAATTGCGATACGAGACGATATTAATGCATCCACGAACTGGCATCGGCATAATGTAATCGCATAATGCACAACTTGGGTTACAATCAAATTGCTAGATAAGGCTCGGCAGCGACGGGATGCAATATTGTTTCGCGCGCGGCGCGTCGTATACTTTATGAATTCGTCAATGATTCATGAGAATCGTCTATTCCTTGCGCAGCTATGCTGCCAGTCTTCATAAGTATATTAATTGCGCGGATATAATTAATGCACAAGAGGCCGAAGCATCAGAGGCTAGGATTTTATCGGCCAATACTTTATAAAACGCGTGCGGCTCTTATATCGCGCGGCTCATTGCAAAACTAGGACGCATAATTGATCATTGATATCTGATTAACTTCGGCGCGCAATTGTACACGGATTCCGCAGACATAATTATAATGTATAATGTATATAGGCGTCGCAAAAAAAAAAAGATGAATTTTTGCCAGCTCGCAGGGATCGCCGCAGTGCAATACGACCGTATAATGAAATTAACTTTAGCCCTGTGCGGCCTCGACGATGTAAAGTTTCGGTCGAGGGTTTGGTCAGGCGTTGTGTTCACTTTGCGAAGGGCAAAATTATGTCCCAGAAAGCAGACTCGGCAGCAAGACAGAAACTCTCGGAGCTGCGCTGTACAGAAGTAACTATTTCCTTGGCTGGCTGCAGCAGCAGCAGGATCTCGCTCGTCGAGGCCACAAACTCCACCCTCTCATCACGAAGCACGAAAGAGGATTACTGCGTTACGTATATTACATAGGTGTCTGCGTAGGCGGCTGCTCTCTGCAGTTGCAATTGGGCCATCGTGGTCGAGATATGGTGGTGCAGCAGAGCCCCCCTTAGTAGCCCCCATGAATAATCACAAGAGCGTCGAGAGGAGCAGCGACTCTCTTGATCGACCGATGACTTCCGTACACGGCGGAATGCGAATTTGTTCTGGGCGCGCAGAGATTAGCCGCAGTCCTTAGCGGCGGCGGGGAGGGGCGTTGTCGTCTCTAATTAGAAGCTACGGGTACTCTGACACATGCACACTATACTACGTCGAGCGGCCAAATAGCCTCGTGCTCTTTTCAGCGTATACAGACAACCGCAGTACTCGCTGCCGTATGCACATTATATACCTACGTATTATGACAAGCGGCGACGACCAAGAGAGGGAGACAATCGAGCGCAAACACACGTACACACGTACACACACACATCGTCTGCAGCATAGACCTAGAGTCCTGCTTGTATTATATATACACACATATTATGTATTATGTTAGCTTCGCAGGCAATATATAATGCATAATATAATAGTACGGCTTATTCGCACGTACTCTGCCTATGGCATTATATGGAAAATAGTCGAGACGCGATAAATCTAAAGTGTGTGTTTGTGTGTGTGTGTGTGTGTGTGTGTGTGTGTGTGTGTGTGTTTGTGCGCGAGGATGAATTTTGTTCCCTCCGCACACGCTGTATATATTACTACTCTCTGTGCTACATATATATGCATTATAAGATGCGCGTGGGTGTGAGTGCGCTCGTGCGTGTGTGTGCACCATTGATTCCGGTGAGTTTGTTTGTCTACTACTACTCGGCGGCGGGACGCGCGAAAACCCGCAGAGTATATATATATACGCCGACGAGAGTGCGTGAGATACATCATGGAATGGAAGAGAGAAGAGCTCGTGGGATGGGACTGTGAATCGCGCGGAATTGTTTCTCGCGAACGACGAGCCGACGCGATTGAGCTGTTTAGTTTCTTTTAGTCCTTTACATAATGCTCCGCGCAGCAGCGCCTATGTATCTTATAATTCACAGTATAGTCGTTTAACAATACGATGCGCAAAGAGCTTCTGAGCATTTATAAACAGGCTAAAAACTTATCGTATCGACCAAGAGCGACAACTAATTGAATTATATTAAATTATTATAAATCTCCTTTGTGGATTGTCGAAAAAAACCAGTTCTCTAAAAAGATTCGTGACATTGATTCAACAGCTGTTGACTTTTTTCCATAAACGCGTGCTTATATACCTTTTTTGTCGATGCGGCAGTGCGGGAATCGGAACAAGAATCATATTATTATACCGCGACAATTGCGACATTGCTCCGATTTTACTATATATACGCGTGAAAGAAAAAAAGTACCTTAGCTGTGTGATTCACGATTTACATAAACGATGGCAAGCCTCTGGGCTCTCGATGCATAGAAAATCGTGTCACGCGTTACATAGTGCATATAGGCAACTCCGAGATCGCCCGTGTGTACCACGTTCGAGATAATAATTAGCCATTTCGTGCCTCGCGGGCCCCGCTCCCATACGCGCGCGCGACGCGAAACTATTCGCCGACTATAGCTATTACGAGTCCATGGCACGAGTAAGGTGTGTATGTAAGCGCGCGACTGCGGCGCGGTATATATCGTATATACAAAAGACAAATTGGAATGACCGGCACGCATACGTGCAGCCGCCCCGGCCAGACAGCTCTGACACGTTATCCGAGGCTTTTATGCTTATAACGCTTGTGTAATGTTTCGCAAAATTTTATATATATACGTATCGCCCCAGACATAGGCGTGCTGTGTAAAAGTGAGGCTGAAAACCAGCGTATAACCGAGAGCTGCATCGCACATTCTGCATCGTTTCTACATTTTCCCGATGAAATGCCTCGAATATGCACGCTGCTGCTCTCGCGATTCGTCTCTTTTTCCACTTTCCTACTATTTCGGTCTCGTTCGCCAATTTACGCGCTGCAGCAGCTACTTTTCGGACAACACATATTTTGTCGAATAATTATCACCCAACTTCTCACGGCTGAGATTCGTTGGAAAATTTTGCGCGAATATTTATATAGCGCAAAGTTTGTCGAACCGTATTCCGTTCTACGTAAGCGCGATACTCGGAAGGTCTATCCTATCCGAGCCCTGCAAAGTGCAGCTTAATTACTAGTAATGAAATTACAGACGCATAGTATTTATCGATGCAGAATAGCAGTTATGAAATGCAATATCCAATGATCGTCGTTAGTGCGGAATATTTTATATACGCTACGTATGACCACTTGATTAATTTTCATCGAATCAGCAGCTGACGATAAATATTTCATCTCTTTAACGATTAACAAATACTTTTGTGCTGCGCTACGTGTAATGCAAAAAAAAAAAATCAATAGAGACAGCTTAATTGACCTTACGAATGGGAAAATATTTATTTACCCGGTACGTCGAGTGCCGAAGTTCGGAGTGTCGAAAAGTTGCAAGTAGATGTTGCCGAACCGTTTTTGTACGCGTGCCTTGTGCTCGTATTTTTTTTTTGCGGGAAAACATTTCCGTACGTTCGCGGAAATAATTGAAATTATCGATTGTGCGCTGCGCATCGACTGTGAAATTATCGTTCGGAGCATAAGTTAGGAAAAAAAAGTAGAGTTTACCATTTTTATGGCTAATTTTTGCTCTCAACGTAACGAAAGTAAAAATGTAGCTCGTAAAAATTTATTGCTGAATGAGCGGCATTGAGCACACGAGTTTTTGCAATAAATACGTGCAAACGGTACGGTTCGGATATAATTTTTGTTTTATTCTAGGTTGAAAAAATAAACAAAGGTCCTAGACCATCAACTAAAGTGCAGATATACAGCTCGAAGGTTACAATATGACTGTAGCGTAAGAGCCTTGCATTATCTCTTTTAAAAACAAAAACCTTTCGAATCGACAACTTCCGTATCGTCAAGTACAGCCGATCAATTGATACAATGTATTTTTAGATAAAAATGTCCGAACGTTGCAAAGTAAATAAAATATCAATTTTCGTCCTACCCCAGCTGAAAGTAACAACTGTCGTCACCAAGTACAAGTAATTAATCTTCGTCTCGGACGCTAATTACACGTACTCTGGGATTTTTCTGATATAATTGTTTTACCGTTCCGTAAGATTACTCGAATGCTATGGTGACTAATAACAAAACGATCCGGTATTGTATAAAATTTCAATTCTTTACTAATTCTGCCCATCTGCAATAGGATACTCGTAACAGGACGTCTTAAATGAAAAGTTTCAAAATGTACAAATCTTAGAATTAGTCAAAAAGTGCGTCTGAATTTTGTCGGAATTTTTAAAACCTGCTATCACCTATTTTCAAAGGCCCAAATTTGACGCGTTTTTACATTTTTCTTAAGAATTTCAGAGACCTTTGAAAATAGGTGATCGCAGGTTTCAACAATTCTGACAAAATTCTGACGCATTTTTGACTAATTCTAAGACTTGTACAAGTTGCAATTTTTCGTTTAAAACGTCCTGTTACGAGTTAGAAAACCACGAAGATTTTTTAATAAATTAGAAAATGATTTTTAAAATGGGCTCTAAGGCCTGTTGGATTGAACCAAACATGGGGGGGGGGGGGCTTCATTATTAGGTACCAGCAGACCAGAAAATCTTTTTCGGGACATTTGGTGACCCACATCTCATGTGTACGCTGTATTGGTTGTTCTAATATACTCACTCGGCTATATCTCCCCAACTCGACTCTTTCTCTTGCGGGAGCCTCTGAAACCAGACTCATCGCCAACTAGCGGCATGAACGCGAACACCATCTAAGCGGAGCATAATTCGCAATAACTTTTACGCTGCGACTAAATCTATACAATACGTCCGCTCGGCTTTTGACTCGCGATGCGATGAAGTTCAGAGACTTGCCCTTCGTATATCATTTTTTATGATCAGTTAAAATTGTGCCGCAATTGTTGGTCATTGAAAATTCATACGGTCTGACGATCACGACGTCATCTACAATGACTACATTATGCATGCATTTAAAGTATTTGTGCGAATGAATTAATTGAAATTTCTTTAAAAGAATCACTGTCACATTTACGGGCACTATGTACGCCAACACACGTATTGATTTGGAAAGGCGTAAAATTGTACGAAGTCTTCTTAATTTTTCAATTTTTACACTTGGACGAAACTAGCATTTAAAAAAATCTCATTAAATTAACTAATTTAATACGATATGAATAATTATACTATTTTAACTAGAATATAATTTTTGGAAATGGTCTCGCGTTTATACATTTTCATAAAACACATTTTGAAGTTTACATTAAATTGGTTAAGAACGTAGATATAACGTGAATGAAGAGTATATGTTAAACGCTTTCAATTACTCTATGCAATTACTAGCTAATATCCCTGTATCAAAAAATTTGATATATGGACTCGCAGCAGATGCAAAAATTCTAAAAAATATAGTTCGACTTTCTCTTCTGAATTATTTACTTTAACCTTATTTGAATTTAGAATTTAATTGGGAAATGCATTTCTACATTAATTCAATGTCAATGAACTATCTAATGGGCGTATATTACATTTGAAATCTAATTGTTTTTCAAATCATTGAAATGTACGTTGCAAATATTGTATTGGATCGGGCAATTTATATTGGAAAAAATTCGACGATTGGAGTAAAAAACTTCTCTGATTTATGTTAATTGTGACAAGGCGCGCGAGCGCACTTGAAAACTTACGAGATTCAATTGTCTTGTCTCAGCTCCCTGACATGATACTGCAAAGGAATTCAACAAGGTTTTCAGGTCAAGCGTATTTTATCTGGCCCATTATAGTACACATTTCAATGACTAACGCGTTATATTTGGCGCATGTGCAATTTTTTTCATGCGTACTCTGTTGAAATAATTTCCAATATAACTCTGGTATTCGAGTTGATTCCTTTACTTCTTTTTCAACCTACTGTCACCGTACAATTTCTTCTCCGAAAATTTATTTCAGAGAAAAATTCTGGTTGCAAACCGAATGAATTAAATAAAAGGATTCTATTACGTGACTAAAATATCACGAGGTTGATAAAGAGAATTTCTTTTTGTTAACTGCTCCGAATTTTCGTAATGATGTTGGAAAGCTAGAGCTTGTTACGCTACTTTGAAAAAACTTGTATATCGTTTCTTTATGCTCTTATAATAATGTTACAATTAAAAAATAACAAACCGAGTAATTTATAAAACGGACCTACATTTCTAAATGTCACATAACTCGTCCACATTCGCATAAAAATTATTCAGTATCAAAGTGAAGTTCGCAAATATAAATGCGGCAAATGTAACGAGTATTTATTTCGCATTAAAATTTCTTTCCACAAAATTATTCATCGTTAGTTGCATTTATCTTCATAAAAATGAATTCTACATTAAATCTATTTACGTTTTTGTTTCTACGCATAGAAATGACGTCCGCGAGGCTAGCGATCGGCTGTCTCAGCTGGCTCTCCCTGCTGAGCGTCGGCGTCCTCGGCTTCGGCAGCGGTGCACCGCCGACGGCCTGCGATCTCATGATACCCAGGCACAAGAATCACCTGCCGCAAGAATCGCCGCCGCCTTATCAGCTGCTGGCGGCGCGCGGCCAGGGCAGAGTGCGCCTCATCATCGGCAGCCCGGACGGCAGCGGTTATCGCGGTTTCTTCGTCACGGCCAGGGACATCGACACGGGCGAATACGTCGGCGAGTTCAATAATCTGCCGGAGTCTCAGGCCAAACACGTCGAGTGCGTACAGACGGATCAGAGATGGGGACAAAAGGTAAGGATCGATTTTGACTGTATCGATCTTGAATCTCCCCGAGTAAGCTAATTTTCACGAATTTTTTTTTCAGACTGCCGTGACCCATATCGAGCCAAAGAATACAAAACACAATCTCGAATTCGATTGGGAAGCTCCGGAAGACTACGAAGGAACTATCGTCTTTAAGTAATATACTTTTTTCAAGACTCGTATATAATTTATGCTTAAGTTAGTCTCAAATTGTTTTCGCTTTTATCGAAAGCGTTCAAGTAATTTTTGAGCAAATTAACGATGGCGCGTTTTGCAAATGAAAAAAAAAAGTATAGAATCCGAGTGCTCTTTACGTTTTACGACGTGCTCAAGAGTCGCACCGTGGAAGTATCAATTTGTCTATGTATGTACACAAACAAGTTGGGAGTATATAGAAAAATACGCGTGGCATTAATTATTGCGCTCGCGAATTTTTCTGCCCGAGCCAGCAGCAGCAGTAGCGTCACAGCGAATCTGAAGTGGAGTTGGCTCGGGAATTCTCAATTTTATTAGTACGCCATGCTCGGTACAGTCAAAGGACGCGCTTATACGTATATGATACATGTAAAACTTTCAAGTGGCCGTTGTGCGCGCTCTATCGTCGAGTCGTGAAATAATCGATAAAAAAAAAACAAGAAGATAAAATAACGTTGTGTGTGTGTTGCAGCTCGACCATAGCAAGAACGTACGACGTCTTCTGGGTCGGCATCGAGTCGCCGCGCATAAGCGTGTCGAAGCGCTCCATTGACATACACTCGACGCCGGCGTCCATAACCGTGGCCCGCTCCACCACCCCGCCCTACTTCAGTCCGACCCCCGTCAATAAGGTATGTATATATAATATATAGACATAAGCAGCGCAGCTAGTAGTAGTACGAGCTTTTACGTGTTTCACTTATTTTTTCTGTCTTTTACCTTCGCGTGCGTGTACGCGAACGACTCTCTTCGATATAATTAAGCCGGGCTGCACGCGCGCGTCGATGTCGGGGACAAAATCACGCGCTCGACTGCGTTTTCCCGGCTCTTCGCAGCGTGCGAGAGTGAAAGAGAGGCAGATAGAAGAGAGAGAGAGAGAGACGTGTACAAACACATACGTACGAATAGAGCGCAGACGAGAGGTATTTTAATTGCGCCAGCTGCTGCAAGCGCAAATTGCGCGCGCCGTTGGCGATATTTAATTTAAAGCTCGAATATTTCGACTCCGATATCCATACAACATTATTAAAAGCTATATTTTCCTCTATACACTTTGTTAATGTAATGAATCGCGTTAATATGGGAAAAATTGTTGTATTTTTTTTTTTTTTGAGCGAACGCGTCGAGACAGAGAGAGAGGATAGAGAGTGTTTCGCTGTATCGCTGCTTGCTCGCGCGCCATTTTAAGCGCCAAGTGTGCGTATGCAAGTTCGGTCGGAAAAAATATATACATACAACGGCCGGGGATTTTGAAGTATACACGCCGAGCGCCCGTGTCGTTGGCGTTTTATATATATGCCGCATATATATAGCGCTCAGTGGAGCGCGCGCGCCAGACCGACCTGCACTCGAGTAGTTTTTTACAAATTTAATATACCGCGGGCGTTCCTTTATTTTCATTCGCCTAAATAAAAGCTACGTATAATACGCGCGTCGAAAGCTCTTCCTTGCATCGGACTCGCGTGCGTGCGCGCGTTTTTATCGATACGTATAAATTTCCACCGTTTCGCGGTAAATTATCAAAAAAAAAAAAGAAGGAAGCAACGAAAAATTGGAAAATCGCTAATAAAAAATCCGCTCGCGTGTACGTGCGTATATAATAACTCGCGCGACCACGTATATCTATACGCTTCCGTTGTGACGATGCTTAACGCGTGTAATACTTGGTGCGGCTTATACATATATTCGCAGAGAATTTCCGAAACGTTGAGCTGCATTTTCCGGTGCGCAGCGGCAAAAGCTCGGCACGCGCGCGCGAGCTGGCGAGCCACGTGATTATTTTGCATTTGCCGATACTATATACCGTGCACGGCCCGCGCCCGCAGCACGCCAGAAAGGGACTCGGATCTTTTTGAAATGCAAAGAGCTGCTGCTGCTGCTGCTGCGCGTATAACCCGTTAATTATACAAAACGACGAGTCATTGTGTGACGATCGAGAATACTCGACTTCCGAATAACATGCACGTGTTTGTCAAACGAGACGTTATGTATTTAAGCAAAAAGTTTTTATTCCAACTTTGATATTTGTTGTGCGTCTGTAATGATACAACTCGTTCACAAACCAATACTGTTCGACGTTACGGAGTATTTCTTGTAAAGTATCGTTGTAACGTTATTTATTATCAATGGAAAGTTATGAAAAGCATCGATTGGATCGATCGTTCAATTAATCGGAAAATGCAGCTTGAAAAATAAGTAAATTAACCAAATTGTATACACGCGAGCAGCGTTTATACACGATATAAAAAATATCGGATCAATCGAGTGACGTAGTCGCGGGAAGGCTTCCATGACAGATCGAATTATCGAAAAGATTTGATTCGCCGAAGAATCGTTCCTTCAAATAATTTTTATCATTGAGTGGCTCCTTTTTTCCATTAAGCTGCCCCCTCAAGAGCCGAGAGATTAAATTTTTTTCCGCGAGAGATCGTTCGTCGAGTCGCGCTTGTAGTACCGCGTTCAATCCGTAATAAGTTTGTCTCGCTCTTCATATTATATTCATGCAATATATACTCGGCCCAAGTAGCATGACAAATTCCTCTTGAAAAATCAATTGTCTCGTTGACAACAAAAAAAAAAAAAAAAAATATCTATATTGGAGTTGCATCTCGAGTTGTCGCGCGTTTATACGCAAAGGCTCTTTATTCTTTCCGCAAAGTCACTCGAGTGGGCCTCGAGATCGTAGCGACGGTTCCACAAAGCGACGTATTTATTTTCATTATCATTGATATTATTTTTATTGCTGTTAAAAATTGAATTCAATTTTTTAAATATAATTTTAGTTTTCTTGACTTGAATTGTGATGATACTACTTTGAGCATTCACCACTAGATGGCGAGTACCATTACCTGTAGAATTCTGCAAGTGGTAAAGTAAAAGTAATTGTATAAGTCTTTTTGCTCACACTTTTCGGCCATACTACCAGGTATTGGTTGCGCTCGGGTCCTAAACTACGCCGTGCCAAAAAATGTTACTTATGCCACTAAACAGGTACCACAGTTGCGAAATATACATACGCTATTGCGATGGACGAAAAACCGAATATTATCGCGTGCGCTCGTTGTCCATGGATTCACTCTTATAAACCCAACGAGCTGCAAGAAGTTTCATACAAAAATAAAAAAAACAAGAAATTCGAATTCGGATACCAGTGCGCGAGAAGAAAGCTTTCGAGAGCTTTTTCAATATCTCGAGCCTCGTGTTTATGATTGAATCGACGATACAAAGAGATACAAAGGAGAGATATACATATTCCCAAGTTGAAAAACCATATTGCCGAGAGGAAGGTGGAAAGCCGAGGAAAAGCCAAATATATAACGCTGTGAGCATGTATATACGATATGCTATTTACTATATATGGCAAGGGAACACTAAATTGGCGCTGAAGCTCGACAAATTCCTTATCGTCGTTGGAGCTGCTGCTGCAAGTTCGTATTTGTATGTACTGCGCACCAGTACGTAAGATTCTCGCGAACATCGTCACTTTATACGGCGCAGGTATGTCACAAGTGGGAGAACATTACGACGAAGCCTGCGGTGGACGAGATTTTCCGAGCTCTCTCTCTCGCTCTCTCTCTTTCTGCGCTTTGAAATATTATAAGTAAGTTTGGGAGGGCGACGCAACTATCGCGATATGTACGTAACACGACTGTTTCGCGCCTTATCTGCGAGTGTGTCTAGGCTGCGCCGCGCTACTGCTGCACAAACGATGCGTATATGGGGCAAATTTCCTGAAGTGTCCTAGCGCTCTGCCGCACGGCACTTTTTGGCCAAATCACTCAATTTCTAGCTCGCTGTAAAAGTATCAAAACACACCTCAAAAAAATAACTAACTAATGATTTCGATAGGAAATTTCCTCAGCTTTTTGATGGTGAGGTCAAATTTCCTGGAATTTTCCATTTTCACCCGGAAAATTATCATCAAACATTCAGAGCTCAATATCTCGAAAAACGCCACTTTTTTTGCTTTTTTTATTGTTTCAAACGAAAGATGAGGTCTTTTTACATCGGGTATGGTAGTTTTCAGAGTGTATTTTTGATGAAAACTAAGGAAAATACGGGAGGTTTTAGTTAGCGCTCGGCCGCTCAGCGCGATTTCGAGCCTTGCGCGGCTCGCTGTAACTTGTAACTCGTTCTTATGACATTGTGATTTGGCTGGAAATACTATTAAACATATAGTTTCAATAGGAAATTTTCTCAGCTTTCTCATGGTGCAGTCGAATTTTCCGATAATTTACATTTTCACCAGAAAAAATGGACTTGAAGGTCTATTTTCTACTTTTTCTAATGAAAATGTAAATTATCGGAAAATTCGACTGCACCATGAGAAAGCTGAGAAAATTTCCTATTGAAACTATATGTTTAATAGTATTTCCAGCCAAATCACAATGTCATAAGAACGAGTTACAAGTTACAGCGAGCCGCGCAAGGCTCGAAATCGCGCTGAGCGGCCGAGCGCTAACTAAAACCTCCCGTATTTTCCTTAGTTTTCATCAAAAATACACTCTGAAAACTACCATACCCGATGTAAAAAGACCTCATCTTTCGTTTGAAACAATAAAAAAAGCAAAAAAAGTGGCGTTTTTCGAGATATTGAGCTCTGAATGTTTGATGATAATTTTCCGGGTGAAAATGGAAAATTCCAGGAAATTTGACCTCACCATCAAAAAGCTGAGGAAATTTCCTATCGAAATCATTAGTTAGTTATTTTTTTGAGGTGTGTTTTGATACTTTTACAGCGAGCTAGAAATTGAGTGATTTGGCCAAAAAGTGCCGTGCGGCAGAGCGCTAGGACACTTCAGGAAATTTGCCCCATATATAGTACAGCTCGGCTCGTCGGATCGTTAAACCAGCATTGCCAGCAGCAGCCTCGAGACAGGTGAAATGCACCGCGCGAGTGTCGCGCGTTAAAGGCGGCGACAATATCGTCGTCGCTCGGTGCTTTCGACGGGGGAGCTTCGCGACTCTCGCGGATCTTATACATATACGCTGGGGCCTCGACAGACAACTGCGACGACGACTCTGCGCAACGGTGAGAACCAACTCGTGCGCGGCTTTTATCGCAATTGACTCGTGGATGCTTCTGCGCGAAAGAGAAAGAGAAAACGAGCGCCTCGAGGTTTTTTCTACTACTATATACGCGTGCGGACGTTTAATTGCCTATTTCATCTTTGCTCGGTAGCAGAGTGCAAGAGAATTACGCGGGCCTCCCGCGTGAGCGTACCGTAAAAACTTGTGTCGGCACACGCCCTGCTCAAGGTCTCATATGCTATATATATATGCGGTATATGGAATATAATGTCACGACGAGCTATTTGTAATGTCGCACGCAGCTCTGATCCCTGCGTGGCAGTACGCGCATAGATTACTCAAACAACCATATAGTTGCGCCATTTCTTTTTCTTTTCTATACCTTTTGTTGCCCGTGACTCGTCGTTGTACGAGTAAATCGTTGCACTCGGCACAATAATCTAAGCATTCGAAGCTTTAATATTTTCCTGATTAATTTTTTTCCACGCAAAAAATAAGGTAAAAGAGAACGAGAGTTAATCAAAGAGTTTTTTACGAGTTTCGAAACTCTCCAGCGTTATGTCGAGATGAGTTTATTTTCAAATCAAGCTCGCTTTAATAATAACGGCACATATTATATAGTCCAAGAGACTCTCGAGCGTCAATCGAGAGATGCGCAATTATAACTATACACATACTTTGATCTCTGATAATTGCCTTCGAATTCAATCAAATTATCTCGATTAATTTTGTTTCTCGAATAATAGCTGATTTTGTTTTTTTGTATCGTTGTTACAGATGCCCGACGAGCAGGATCCGTTCTACGAGAATTGCGGCGAGACGAAAAATTGCTTCGGTATTCCGGACGGCTGCGTCGAGCAGCAGAACTGCGTGGCCGCGGTCTCCGTCCTCGTGGCCGGCGAACGCTACATCTTCGAGCTGCGATCGACCAATAATGCCAAGTACGTGGCGGTCGGACTGTCGGACGACAGAAAAATGGTAATTAGCGCCTTCTGGCACGGTGCAATGTCTATTATTTTCAACGGGGCTCTGCGGACACGTGACTTTACTTAAAAGAGGGAGAAACGAATCGTTATCCCGAGCTCCGCGACGAGAGAGAGAGAGAGAGAAAAAAACGTTTATCCGACATTAACATGGTTTTTTACTCGACTGTAGGGCGACGACAGCGTAGTCGAGTGCGTCGACGCCGGCGACAGAGTCAACATGCACATGTCTTGGAACGATGGCTTTACGAATACTCGAATGGCTACGGTAAGTATCGTGCTCGTCGTTAAACTATACGTCGAGTCGACACTATCTTGCGCAATCTCGTCACATTTTACCTTACTGTTGTTGTTTCTTTTTTCTGTCTTTTCCCACAGCCACCGAACACAGTCGATTTGATATCGAGCTCGCTGGTCGACGGCGTGATCAGCTGCAAATTCTCGCGTAACAAGTTGACGCAGATCCAAGGCCGCACCTTCAATCTGGTGGAAAAACCGTACTTCCTGCTGCTCGCCAGGGGCCAGAAAGGTATGTATACACTACGCGCATTATATTTAATTAAAAGAGTAGCCAGAGAGAGAGAATTGCTGTATTGTCCGAAAAAGCTCTCGAGTAATTTTTTTTTTGTACTTCCGAGCCGCGTAGGTTTTTAATTCGCGGGAGCTCTGTATAATCCGGACTGTCACGACTGTATAATATAATAAACACATACATACGTATATACCATGGACGCGCGTTGTTGCTACGTGCAGCGAATGACTGATATTACCACGAGACATGGTCGCACACACATATACTCGACCTGCACCGGAGCTGCAGGTATATAATACGCGATTTACCTCTCTTTTTTTCCCCTTTCGAGATGAGAGTACATGTATGATACACAGCGGAGAGCTGCCGTGTTACTTGATTACCTCGCTCTTCGCTTTATTGTCATTTTGTCTTGACTCGTATAAGTACGACGCTTCATTATCCCCGTCGTAAACTTGTTCATAGTTTAAAATTTCAATGGAAAAGAGCTCGTGTATGGCGAATGGCGCTAGATTTTTTAATTCGTTCGCAATTTGGAAATTTATACGCTCTGTGGATCGCCCAAAGCTGATAACGCTATTTAACAAATATTTCGACCGCGATAGCTAATTTACCGGGTAAATCAGCTCTCGAGAACGCATTAGGCTTTTGTAATGCACTAATGAAGCGCATTTTACAACGATAAGCGCTCGGTATGGAACAAAAACATTATCGACTATTATTATACACAAATTGGCAATTACGAATCTAAATGGGTAATATATAATATATAATTACAGATAGATGTTTAACGAAAAATGATTTGTGTTATTCGTATTATTCGCAGTGTACTCGGGCGGCATCAGCTATCACGACAAGCGCGAGGCCTGGGCGGAGCCCCGACTGCTGGCCATAATCGGCCGTAACGCGGGCGCGGGCGATCTCCTCGTGCGCCTGCACGGCGCCCTCATGCTGGCCGCCTGGATCGGCACCACCTCCATAGGCATGCTGCTGGCGAGGTACTACAGACAGACCTGGGTCAAGTCGCAGCTCTGCGGCAACGATCAGTGGTTCGCCGTAAGTCTCAAACTACTCACTTGAGCTATCGTCATATCGACGAAATCACATTAATGCGGATTCCCGCGAATATCTCGGCAAATATTTGGCATCCGAGACGTTATACTCGGCTCGGCTGTCGGCGGCTAGTAGGCGGATTTTCCGCCCGACAAATATTTAACGAACGATATTTCGATGACGGCTGTGACGCGTAGAGCTGAGGAAAATTCCTTTTTATACACCCTGGATTCGAGCTTCTCCTCGAGTGAGAGGCCAAAAAGAGAGAAAAGAAAATATGACGTTGAGCGTGAAATTCGCATTCGGAAGGCTTTGAATCGAATCGATTGTCCCGGAAAGATATCCACCGAGAGATATCTTACACGAAATTTTGTAAAAGATTCGATAATATTTCTAAAATTGTTCCTTTTTTTTCACCACCAGTGGCATCGATTCTTCATGTTCTTGACGTGGTCGATGACGATGGCCGCGGCCGTGCTGATCGTCATCGAGCTGCAGGACTGGAGCTCGGCGACTTATCACGCCGCCACGGGCCTCGCCACGGTCGTGCTCTGCTTCATCCAGCCGTTCATGGCGGCGATGAGGCCGCATCCGGGCGCCCCGAGGCGCATACTCTTCAACTGGCTGCACTGGTTCGTCGGCAACGCCGCGCACATTCTCGCACGTGAGTAATAACGATGAAATTATTATTATATTAATATAGTGACACGGATAAAACAATCATCTTTGGGGGATGCAGCTCGCTCGAGAGAGCTCGACAATTACTCGTGCGGTACGCGAGAATCGATATTATATATTATATACGTTACGAGAGTCGTTGCCTAGTGCTCCACTTGGATACCTTCCAGATGCTCGAAAATTTTTACTTTTTGGCCCGGAAAATCATATCGATATCGATGTACGACGTGCGATATACGAGCCGCGTGCTCTTAACTTTATACATCGAGTAAAGCAGTACGAGGGTGTGTATAATAATGCATTCAATTTTTCTCTCAAGATATTCCGATCGTAACGAAGGCTCGTGAAACGATAAAAAAAATTACCGATAGTAGTACAGGCTCTAATCGGGAAAAAGCATCGAGGCATAATGGAGCATGGACCGCGCATAAATATGGGGTGGGGAGAGCCAACGTTAATTTAGACTTATGGAACGTGGCTCAGGTTGCTAAATTGGTAATCGGATAATTGGTCGGGGAGCTCTCGGTCAACTTTGTTTTAGGCGCGCGCGCATATACACGTATGCTCTTGGGTCTAATCGAACGTGTGCGCAACCGGAGGCTTCTGCGGCCAATTCCGAATATAGATGCATTATATAGGCACCGGGCGTGAAATCACGAATAAACCGACTACTCGCTCGTTTGATCGTCACTGCACCTTTTATTATTCTCTCGTTATTCTCTTCTCTGTTTATAAACAACATACTATTTTTATCAGTTTCATTTGCCGTGCGGGGCTCGTTGAGATTGAAAAATATTAATTCTATGATTTTTCTACTTTTTTGTTTTGCAGTTGTTGCCATCTTTTTCGCCGGAAGATTGGGAAAAGCTAACCTGCCGGAATGGATCGATTGGATACTCGTTGCGTTCATCGTTTTTCACGTTGTCACCCACTTTTTCCTCACGGTAAGATAAAATTCACATCGCACATAGTATTTCTGTTTTTTTTTTCTCCTTTCAACTATGGCTAAATTAAATTGCAATTATTCTCTGCGGCGCCTCTTTCATAACGCTTATCAACCGGCGTTGGCTCGAGGTATTAAATTTTTTCTTCTTTCCCTTTTCTACGAGTGCGCGCATTATAATCACAAACAGGAAGTACAACGCGCATCGAGAGTTGGGGAAAGCAAAAAATTTTTAATTGAGATAAAAAATACAAAATTTATAATTTGCTTCATTTCCTAATTGAGTCGCGCGCGCGCGAGAATCCGTCGTATAATTATAGTCCGATTTTACACGCTCAATTACAAAAATTTCTTAATTCGTCCACGCGTTTGAAGTTAATGGTAATTCACAGCTCGATGTTATATATAGGCGCGTGCATAATGCATTAATGACAAAACGCATTTATTTAATCGGGTTGAAAATGCGCGCGTAAAACGCACAAAGAGCCGCGGCGGCGGCGAAAAACCAGCGAATGCATTATCATCGACGATCGCTGCATGCAATGTGCAATGTGGCGCGCTGCTGCTGCTGGGGATGGAACTGTGCGCAGCGAGAGGAACAATTATGCCGAACGCGGCTTACAATAAATTCCGATAAAAGCCCCTCAATTTTCGGACTCCGAAGCTGGCTCTATATGCACAAATGGAGGTGGAGGAACAAATTGCTCTTCCGTGATGGGATAGCATGGGCGGCTGCTGCAAACTACTGCTGCTGCTACTGCGTTCGGCGTTGCGGTTCGCGATTCTCCGCGTATATATAGTGCGCAGCGCGACGTTGAGAAATTTGTCGCTCGTGACTTTGCAAGCCAACGCCAACAAGCCTGGCGTACTCTACACGCGCTTACTTATATATTCCTCTATATCTTTCGGCGCGATGTACTCTCTTAGTATCAAGGAAGCCCAAGTTTGTCTTCTCTCTTTCTTTTCTTTTTTGGTCCTACTTTTATATCGTATGCTCTTGTCCGTATATAGTTTGCCGGCTGCGCCTCCGACAAGCAAGGAAGCCAAAGGGTCAACTCTTTCCCCATGAAGGACGTGCACGCTCGCAACTCCATGACGCATCCGGACTCGAGAAGGGACGCACCGGTGAGTTATACCTTAAACTCTCAAGTTATTTTCATTGCAGTTAACCACTTTTATATTTATTTCGTGAATTAATCAACATCAAATTATGTTAATCGAGATTCTCTACTCGCCGGCTACGATACTCGACTTCGTTGTTAATTAGAAGGAAAACATAAAAATACACTTACCGGCAAAGTTGGCTTACGCATTCTAGCCCCACCCGTACACGTTATTAAATTGCACTTTAGATGCATAAATTCTCCGAAAAATGTTTCTTTTAATTTACTCTTGGATATTAATTGCAGCCACACGCTTCTTACCTGCCAAGCAAACATTTAAATTCACTGAATTGACTTGGTTAAAACTGTTACTTACGTGAAATGTTATTTTGTACTTTTCTATTTTTCCATAGTTTCGCGCGAGCATAAAATTTTTAAAACGTTCACGCTATCGTTGAGATATAAACTACTAACACTTCGCTTACCCACACTCGCTGATATTCAAATTGCGTAACATATTTCACTTATTTCTCAAAGTAAGAACTTACTCTGCAACTCTTTTTTTGTTACGTAGAAATTGAATTAAAGTTATAAAGACAAAGTAAAATATATCTTTTTAAAAAAAAAGTAAGGCAAAAACGTTGAAGTTGTTTTTACTGGTAAAAGTAAGGTAAAGTAGTTTACATCTCAGTTGTCGATATGACTTAGACTCTTCATACATAAAGTTGGCTAAAGGCTAGAACGTTACCCACGGGATCATAGGACATAAGAGAACTGTGAACATCTTTGTGTGGTAAAATAGCGAGTACACCAGAATCCTTGACTACGTTATTTTTTAACGCAGCAAAGTTATTCTTTTTCGAAAAATTCAACTCGAGATAAAGTTGGTTAATACGATGGTAAAAAATATAAAAATAGTTCTTTAGTTGTATGTATTCTTCCATGAGATAAATGTACAGTGACATTCTGAGAAAAAACGCGTTATCAATGAAAGCAATTTTTGACGCACAATAGCCATGCGTTTGAATTATAAATAAGAGAGGCTTCTTTGCCTCGGAAACATTTTTAAAAAATTGCATTCATATTACATAAGTGAAAATAATTTTATTTCTGATTGACACTCCAGCATGCAAAAAAGCGCATAACAGACGTGTTGCAATTTTAGCTTTGTTGTCATATTTAAATGTATACAGTCTCGCAATCGAGCGGAAGCAATGTCCTACCACTTTAGATCTGAAAACAGTGAGGTATTCAAGTACACCTGGCTTTACGAAGCTTTTCAATCAAAAAAAATCGCGAGGGACTATATGAAGAGATTGACAAAAAATGATACAAGAAAAAATCAAATAGAAAAAATTAATTAATTTCGTTGTACAGCAATATCAATTGCATTTACTAATGTTCCTCTCTAATTCTGTAAAAAATGTTAATCTCTGACTTTTTTCGATTTGTTTACAGCACGCGGGTTTGCGCAAGCTAACTTTTGGCATTTACTTCGTCGTCGTGGTGCTGTTCGCAGCCGCCTACGTCGTCATCACGATATTCGCGCCGATCGAGGAGTCTTGGAATACCTTCTACGATCAGTATTTGGCGGCCCAGTGAAGCGGTACATATGCACACTGCAGTTATGTACTTGAAAGAGACGCCGAAAAGCCATAACAAAACATGGCGATGAACAACGTCGCAGCAACTCATTCTCGTTCCGAGACAGTAGTCTACAATAATATGAACATTTAGTTTCTTACGTGTCGGATGTAACAGGGCCCCCGCGAAGGGGGAATTCTTCGTTGTTTACGAATTATTGTCATCGTTTAATTATTACTGCTAAGATTAATATTATCATTAAGTTCGCGTGCGCGTCTGTGAATTTTGTGGGTGGATTTTCTGCGTGTGGTTATCGATGCGCGAGTGTTTTACGGCGGCTGTACTTTTTTTTCCTCGCATTGTCACTAGAATATGCCCAGTGGAGAGAACCGAGCGCCCACGAGAAAGAACACAAGACACGAGCGGTATATCAACGCTCGGAGGGTCGCATTCCGTAGTTTGGAATGGATGTATATATACGGATAGGGAGGATCGTTGCTGGTAGGCGCGCGAGAGTGCCATAACACTTTGTTGCTCGTTTTATCGAGGCGTCCGTCGTCGTGCCTCGAGCCGCTTATCTGCCTTCTGCCAACGTAGGATTCGAATCGTCACCGGTCGATACTCCAAGACTGGAGAAAATGTTCAACATTCGATTAACAGCTAAATGCACGATCTCGACCGGTAATGTAAGAATTGCGCGCTATGATATGCTCAGAGGCCAACAAAAAACAGCCACAGAGAGCCATAGGGCCGATAATAGGAACGAAAAAACTTGGAGAAAGTATAGCTGCTTCTCGTTGGGTGAGCTTTTAAGCCTGCGTTAGCGAGCTTGCGCGCCCCTTCCCTCCTCATACGTATACATACGTACACCTCCGAAAGCTTGGCTGCTGGCTTGTTGAACGCGCCTCGAATCTCTATGACGTATACACTCGACAGACTCTACATGGGCGAAAGTTTAAAGCAGCTGCTGCTGCTAGGCTAGCTAGCTAGCTAGCTGCTCTATGTGTGTGCTTTCAGTGCTGCTGTGCTTGCGCTCGTGTATTCTTCGGGCATATATACATAGCTCCTACTCCTCCTCCTCCTCCTCCTCCATCCTTGGCCATTCTCGGCGCGATGAATCTTATTTTATCGCACTTATTACTCCCGGAGAAAGAGCGAAAGATTGCAACTTGAACGTATTGTGCGAAGCTTGTGCTTTTCCCCCCGCCTTTCCTACTACTACTACTTTTTTCAGCTGCTACTACTACTCTTTCTTTACTTTTTTATAGATATACATCGAGAGCAAAATAGTCGAGCGGCAGTGGCAATTTGATGCACGTTGCACGCTTCTTCCTCGGCAACGAGCTTTGTATGATCGAGCAAATGCTTTTCGAATATTATTTCTCTCCTTTCTCGTCCTTTTTTTCGCGTCCATTCATTTTTTCGAGCTATTTCAACTTTTTTACAGCCTCCGAGCACACAACTTCCCCATGCTTCTTTTTCCTTTCTTTTTATATATCGTTTGTTTATATGAATGTCGATGGAAAAATTCGCAGGGGAGCCCTTTGTTATCGAACGCTGGTAGCTTTTGAAAAATGACAACACGCCGGCTCAAATTGTTCAATTACTGCGGTATATACAAAGAATACTCGTGCGGAATATTGGCATAATTTATAAAACTACTTAGAGTTTTACGTTTTTATATAGTACTTTCAAGTGCATTTATTTTTTAATTAGTTAATTACGTAGAGAGTTAATTACGTAAAGTTAAACAATTTTATACTATAGAGTAGGGACTTTTTTGTTTTTACTCGTTAGTTTTGTATCGAAATAGTTTTTTAATATGCGACAAATGTAATTTAGAAAAATAGTTTTATAGTTATTTAGATGAGTACGATGTCTATTACTTTTTAAATACTGCTCATTCAGTATTATACATCCTTGCTGTGTGTTCACTTGTACGTGTAAAATACCCTGGAATATTATGTACCCAAGGTTACTATATACATCTCAGTTATACGACAACATTAACTGATTTACAATTCATATAAGTCAGTGCCTTATAACGGTAGATTATTAAGCCACTACTACTCGTTGTCGCCCCTTTCATGAATTAACAATTATTTTTTACCTCGAAGTGTACTTGACTAATTCTACCGAAGCAACGATAAATTGTATTATGTTTGAATGCGAACAATAAATTGTATATTATTTTAAATCTTATCCGATCTGGCTATTTATTTTTTTCTCCCGTGCTAACATTTTTTTTTTCATCCGATGATTCGCTTTGTGGCTTACAAACTCAGTCTCACGTGTACTCGACGCGAGCAAAATTATCGCGTATCGCGATTTTATAAGCAGAGACTGGGAGACGTTCGGTAGACTGCCGCGTTAAGCTCGAAAGTACTACGTGGGAGTGATTTTCTCATCACGCGAACTGCGGGAATCTCTTTTTTTCTCTCTTTGCATCAAGAGCGTCTCGCGAGTTGCATTCATTAGCACTCGTCTCGATCTTTCTCGTCGTCGTATATTTATTTTTTACATTCGAGTGTATTTTTGCCTCCCCGAGACATTTATATACCGCGGAGTGTTTATTATAACATTAGAAAACGTTATACCTATATGGAAAAAGGTCTACTCGCTGAGCCATCGTCACAGGCCCGGCGCTATATATAACCAGCTGAAGCGCCGCCGCCGATGTAACGATATCGCTCAACCACGTACTTGCACAACCCCTACAGATAGAGAGGGTATATTAGCTCTTCTGGTGCTCGTGCAGAGAAAAAACTGTGACATTGGATAGAGTCGAAGAGAGAAGCGAGTAGAAGAAGAAGAAGAAGAAGAAAATGAGAGGGCATCGTAGATTGCTGCGCTCAAAATAAAAAGTACGAGCTCCGAGACTCGAGGAAAAATCGACTTTCGAATGAGACGTGCGCGCGTTTTTTACTTGCATCGTAATTTGCCGTTTCTAGTGATGAAAAAAAACGGTTTATAAAGAGAGAGACAGAAGGAAAGGACGGGGGCAAAAAGATAAAGAGGAAGCTGAGTTTAAGCAGTCGAACGTACAAAAAGGATCCATCCTGTAGCCAGCGGAATGAGCTTTACTCTTGGACTCGCACGTTTTGCGTGTTTCATGCAAAATTAACTATTAAATCGTATTGATGTAAATTAACCAAAACAAATGGAGTTTGAAATCCGATGATGAAAAAATACTGTCGAGAGTTCACGTGAGTCTCGTAGCTTTTCCATTTTTATTTCTATTTCTAAAAACTGCCAAGAAACTTGATGATGCAAAATTTTGAATTGGACTGTATAGCCTACAGGTATCATCTTAGACATCTTGAAAGTGAAAAAGACGACATACTCGTAGGTATTTTTTAGTACCGTGTAGCTTTTGATGCTTTGGCTCAAGTTAAAAATTGTTGTAATGATAGAAAAAGAAGAAAATGTACCAATTAGGCCACAGATACGAACTTGGGGATTATACACGCGTAATTTTCTGGAATTGGAAATAAATTTCTCATCTCGATAGTGTACGATTCAGCAGTAGATAGGTAATGAAAATTAGTCGAAACGTAATGGGGAAAAAGGGCTCGAGATATACAGCGCTTTAATGAGGTGAACGATATATTCTCTGTAAATCTTTAAATTTATAAAGAAGAACATAATAGCCTGCTATTTATCTGCTATTTTCAGGTATTACATAGATGTGGTCAAATTCATCAAGCCTCGGAGTAATGAGCGAAGAGTAGGCCGAGTTTAAAAAAAATGAAGCGTTTTTTTTTTTGCTCAGAGAGTCCGGATAAGTATCGTGTTATGCTGCAACACTTGTTAAATATAAGCTTTCGAGCGCACAATGGTGTATACGTAACGCACGCACAAATCTAAAAAGGGAAGAGAGGGTAGAGTGCGAAGCTTATAATTACGCTCGAGTAGTGGAGGTACTCTTGCGTATGCGTATACTTTTACTACTTTTCCAGTGGTGGCGCAGCGTCAACATCAGCAGTACGTTGATACTGGTGGGCACAGTATATTCCGTGACCCTAAGAAGAATTTTGTGAGAATTTCTGAATTTTGCCGGATTTTAGTAACCGCTTTTGAACTAGCGGAAAAATATTTAAATAAGGAAGATAAAAAAATCAAGCTAATTTTGCTTCAGTTCTCCACGTAATACAGAGTCGTGGTTCTTGAGAAGTGACTATGTACTTACTTAGTACCCTAAAAAGTTATTTCTCTCTTGCAGGTATGACTTTTTTCCGTCGATGCGCCACCTGGGGGTTGGGCTTGAAGCTCCAAAATTAGGAGTGGGAAGGGCAAACAAATAATAAAAAACGTGTTTTGAAGCTAAAATAAATTTGGATGGCTCTATCTTTTTATCCAATGCACCAAATCATCTGGAAATTGGCATGGGTTCATTATTTTTGATTCCCTATGGAACGATACCTATCTGGTAGCACTCCGAATACCCGAAGTATCCTAACTCGAATTACATTTTCTTATTTCTTTCGTGCAGATGTATAGAGTAGGTGCGCTGCACCTAGCCGACATTTCTTAGCTAAATAAGGCTAATTTCAACGTAATGAATTAAATTAAATCATTATATTTTTTTTAACATAAGTTTAAGGAAACAAAGTTATAAACAATTTATTATTATAAATAATCTTTTTTGTATACTTTTCCGGCTAGGTGCTACCGCACCTCTTGATAGCAGTATTGCGCTCGAGTCTAAATGTATGTACGCTTATACGAGTGCGCAAGTAAGCAGAGAGCAAAAGAAAGAGAGAGAGAAGAAAAGAAAAAAGATGGAGTTATGGAGTGCATCGCAAAGAGAGAGAGAGAGAGAGAGAGGGAGGCAGCTCGCGGTAGTGCGGGGGCGCGCGCGCGAGGTTTCTACTACTAGGTGAGAGGGTTGACGTTGCTGCTGTACTCTACCTGTACAGAGCGAGACTCGCAGCGCGCGCAGGTGTGCACACACAAGAAAGACAGGTGTGTATAAGGCATAACGAGGCTTTACTATCGCGTAGCCTATGAATGTATGTACGTATGCATGTACGTACGTATGTATGTAGTGGAGGGAGGCTAGTAGTATTGCCAGCAGCTCGATGTGGGAGCTTGCACGTATATATAGATACATATAAAGCTGGGGGTTCGCGCGAGGACAAAGCTCCCGCGAAGAGAAGAGGAGAGGGTTGGCGTGCGCAAGCTCGGCGCTGCTGCTGCTACTGCTTCCCCGGGCTCCCTCCAGTATACACGGTGTGTACGTATAGCAGAGAGAGAGGGAGGGAGAAAAGAGGGGCTGCTGCTGAGCTCAGTCCGTCTCGTTTCCTCTCGGGCTGCAGCTCGAGCGTACGCATTCGAGCCAGAGCCAACGGGGCGCCACTATCGCAGCCAGCTCAGTCAGTTCGATCGAGGACACCGGCCGGCGACCACCGTTTTATTATAACGCGTTGTCGTCGTCGTCGTCCGCCTGTACCACCAACAACGCGGCGAGAGAGTTACTACTCCTTTACTACTACTCTTCCGCCGGCCTTACGCTCTACGTTACTACTTGTAATTACTACTCGACGACGTGTGCGACGAGTTTGATATAAGAAAGAAAAAAAGTAGTCAGTGGTGCCGATTCAGAGTGCGCGCAGTGTGCCCAGAGCTATACCGTAATATAGCCAAAGTGCGACGGATTTCCGAGTGCTCCTCGGAGGAGGAAAAGTGAGAAAAAAGTGTCGCGATATATATACATGGAGAGTCGATGCTGGTAGCTTGACACGCAGCAGCTCGACCATAGTGAGTGGTGACCATCGTTACGATATTCCTGCTTGCGAGAGAGAGAGAGAGAGAGAGGGAGAAACTCCGTTCCGAGCTTACGTCAAGTAAGAAAGTTGGATCCGATCGATTTGTCATTTCTCCGACACTCGGGACGAGATTTTCAATCGGAAAACTTTTCCAGACTATGGGGCTTTGGTGCGTAGTAAATCGCCGACTACCGCGACTACTTACTTTACGATTGCTCAAAAAGCAGCAGAGAGCCCCGAGTTTTCGCGAGCAGCGCGCGACCCAACGATAGTAGCTGCGTATATGCACGGAAAAAAGCTCTCGCCGCTATACATAATTCAGCGAGCGACTCGTTGGAGAGCCGCGCGTTCGTGGAAGCCAATGGCGTGCCAGGCCTATACGCGTACTAGACACCTTCAATGTATGTATACGCGCGGTACATTCGCATATATGCGAAGCTGGAGTTTATACTATACTACTATGCGCTAATACTAATACTTTATACCGCATACACTACTACGATGTAGGCAGTGTACTGGTGCGCGATGGCGACGCCGCAGCGATTTTATCGGCGATACACAACGTATATCTGCTCGAGCCGATACGCATTCACTCTGCCTGTGTACCTGCGTATGTAGTATATAGTCGAGCTAGTCGATGGAATTGTTCGTTGTTTCCGGGATTCCATTTTGGCGCTTAGTATTTAAGCTGCTGCTGCTGCTGCTGCTGACGTCGTATACGTCGAAGCATTGCCAATATAGCAACTTTTGGTATCTTTGCCTGCCGTCAAAGGCAGACACAAGTATAGTTTCCTAAAGTCCCCTTCGTATCTCGAAGATGCTTATTACTCCGAAGGGGAAATTCCAAGAGTCACGAGTTTATAACGCGTCGCGAGTCGCCAATTAATCTTTGGGGCCTTTGGCCTCGACGCAAGGCATGTGTAAAGTTGGCCTGCCGCTCTCTCGGCAAAAAATTGGCTGGCGAGGGATTAGTGTCGCGGCCAACGCGGACTTTGCGCATGCAACCGCAATAGGGTGCTCTAGCTAGACCTCGAGAGCACACCGTGTGTATACCCGGCCGCAATACCAATTTCGCACGCAGCCTGGCGAATTCTCGTACGCGCGTAGCGTCACTTTTTTTCGCAGCGCAAAGTTGCATTACAATGATACACGAAAACGCTTCTCGGGTCGCCCGCGCGCAAAGTCGGTGTGCGTATATATACGAGTCTCCTAGAATTACTCCGTGTGCACGTGTGTGTCTGTGTACGTATATACGCATTTGTGCGCGCGCGATGTATCTCGTTACCGCTCTATACAGAAGCTCTCGCAAAGCAGCGGATTTATCTACTCGCCTTCTATATACTACACGCGCGCGAGGGGGATATCAGGTGTCGCGTATACCTACATGCCTCTTCCTCTCGCTATATAATAATATAATGTGCACTAGACACGCTTCAGCTACTAATTTCTTTGGACAACTTGCCAACCCACCCCCCCCTGCAGTCGATGAGTTACACCGTGAAATTACTTTCTTCTTTTCTTTTTTTTTTTTTTTTTTTTTTTTTTTTTTTTTTTTTATTCATTTTTTTTTTTTTTGCCTGTATACACTTTGCAGCGAGTAAACTTACGGCTGTATACGCGCGTTCGAATTTCATCGAAGAAAATTGAGAAGCTTTTATTATTGACTCTGCTGCCTCTGTACGTGTGTGTGTGTGTGTGTGTGTGTATCCACGCATCGTCGTCGTCGTCGTCGTCGCGCGTTGTTGTTGGCTGTGCAATTTGCCTATAGCATACATCGCGCTCCGGCTCAACTCATTCGAGAATCGAAAAAATAATTCAACCGGATGAAAAGGGTGGCGCGCCTCGCGAATTACTTTTCTCCTTACTTTTTAACGAAGAAAAATATACATTTCCATCGTTCGTTTTTGGATAATTTTTATTTCGTCTTGCAGCGCAGTTTCAAGCGAATACAATAATAATAATAATAATAATGATACTTTAAGCGCCCGAGAAAATATCGCGTACGACATTATTTTAATTAAAAATTCGTAATCAATGGATAAAATATTCTCTACTTCGTTCGCAAAAATTAGCGCGAGTAATTATTGTCGATTATTTTTTTCCTTCTTTTCCATATTTGACTAGTAGACGACAGGTTGAAGAAAAAAATCAATAGCTCCGGTTACCGTACGTAATAATATCAACTTCAACTGGCAAGAAACTCGCCCTCATCACGCAGCAGCGCTATTAGTGCCCCCGTAATATGGCCGCGCTATACTTTAACGTCGTGTTTCACTACCATCATCATAATGTACGACATCCTATGGGTGGTCGTAGTACACGATGTAGAAAATTACACTCGTATACGTTACGAAGGTGGGACGTCGTGCAGACCTCTCGAAGTTGTAAAAGCCAAGCATTGGCACGCAATGCCTCGTGTATGTTATTAGTACGTAATGCTATCAACGAAAAAAAAAGGAAAAAAAGAACGAATAAAGGGAGGCAAAAGCGTTTCGGCTTTTGTTCATCCCTAATGTTTTCGCTTATTGAAAGTGTTGATCTGCACCGAGGAGCTATATGCTATGCTTTCCATATATCGCCAAAAATACCCAACTAGCCCAGGCCAGGTGTAGCATTATATAACACGGCAGCGCACGCAACTATTGTTATCGAGGAAGAGAAACGGCCTATTTTCACGAGAGCCGACAGCACAGCTTTATTCACCTATCAAAGCGTTTTCATTTTAACTATGGTCAGTGCCATTCTTCTCTTTCTCTCTCTCTTCTTTCCGTACACACATACAGCGGCGGGACTATTAATAAATAAGCAAAACTAAAGGGGCACGGGGCAGTGCGCAAAAAAAAAGAGAGATGAAAAAAAATAAACGAGCTCGGGCCACTATAACGCTAGGCTATGAATCAAAAGCAGTCAAAATATGGCGAGGTTTACGCGCACGGCCGTACGTAGTAAAGAAAAAAAAGGAAAAAAAAGGAACGAACGAACGAAAGCTCGGACGGGTGCATGTGTTTAGCCGCATACGTATAGTCACGTACCTATATATAGGGAGATATTTTCGATTCGCCACTGAACAAGATATGGGGGGTTAATTTTACAAAACAAACACGATTAAAAATTCGTACGAGAGTAAAGCTCGGCGCATCGAGTTTTATAAAGATTAACCAAAAAATCCGTGGCTTATAGAAACTATGACGAACTACGTAAGCGAGATAACAGCTTTTAATTGTACTGTAAATTGTTGTTGGGCATACAGCGGATCGTTAAATTTGATTTTATTGAATTCCGGCGTTGATCGATGACCAAAATCATATCTCTAGCGATAAATCTGAACCTTTATTAGCAGCTATCGGGTCGAGAAATCATCATCGAAGTAGAGGATTCGGACGAATGGTCAGCCACGTTCGAGTTTCCAAAGTTTTTTCGGCTGGTATTTTGGCGAATTGAAAACAAAAAACGATATGCAAAAAAAAATATTAGCCTCGGCGCTCCCCCATTACGTGTCTACGATCGCACGTGCGGCAAATATATCAGCATTATATTGTATAGGCACGCGCGCGCGTGAGGTACAAGTGAATTATATTATATCGGATAAACTTTCATAGCCGATATGCTGATGATATATAAAAGGAGAGGGGGAGTCTTTTTCATTCCATTGAATACGATACAAGACACATACGCTCACACACAGACGTGTACGAGCTAAATAATGAACGCGTAACAGTAACGGGCGCTGCATTTATTATCATATGTTTATTATATGCACGATTGTGTCGGGTATGGATCGAAAAAAATTCGGAATCCCCGCGCGAATCAACGGAAGTTGAAGCGGGTTCTCGTTTTCAACAATGTGCCGCTACGGCCGTATTATAAAGTTGTTCGAGCGCTAAAAAAACGCGCAAAGTTGGGGACGGAAAAACTGCTGACAATTAAATTTCGGCCTCGAATTTCTTTACGTAGATCCGCGCGTTTTTTTGTTGTTCTTTCTTATTTTCACTCGTTCGGGGGAAAATAAACTAATTATTGTAGCCGAACAAGCGATCTGTCGCTGTATATATACAGTTCAACCGCAGCCTGGAGAGCGAGATAGAGAAGAGGGGAGGGGAATCAAGACAGACAGACAGATAGATAGAGGCAGAGGGAGAAACTTTACGCTCCGAAGTCGTTGAAAATTGGATTCTCGTCTCCGCAGATTCGTGTGTTGCGTACGTGTGTGTGTGTGTGAATAGATATAGGTGTATGCGCGTGGAAGGATATATTTCGATATATTTACTGGCACACCCACACACACGAGAGCACACGGCACGGACGGACGGCTATATAGAGGGGGGAGAAAGACAACTAAAACGTCTCGAGGCTTTGCGAGCTAAGTTTGGGAAATCGTCATGAGCGAGCGGCATAGCTGCAGGGAGGCCACAAGTTGTATATGTATATAATACGTAATGTATATAGGTAGATGTATAGAGGGTAGGTAGTACTCACAAGTCACAAGTTTCGGCCGGCCCTCGGCTATATATACAGATGCGCGCGCGCCCACAAGTGCGTGACTGGCATATCCGAGCGCGAAGGAGCTACGGCGCAAATATATCCCAAAAGCCTCGCACGCCACGTCCAGTGCACGCAGATGATACGTCGCGCGGGTTCGAAATAAAACTTCGTGTAACGAATCGTCCAAGCTGCGTATGTGAATATAGCTCGAAAACCCCGAGATACGATAGGCGGCATACTGCGCGATCGTAATCCTCCGGAGGATTAGTTTATACGGGGCCCAAAAAAGCACTTGGCTCGCGCGCCGCTTTTGTTTCGCGCGCACTATACATTTGCGCTTTGAATAATAGATTTTATTTTGACTCGAGCTTGCGCGAGCGCTACACAAGACAAGCAGTTCGAGAGGTTAAAATTGCACGTACACGGTATACGTCGTAGTTTGGGAGAATTTTCCGTTTGAATTGGGTAAGAAGGAAGAAAAATCATCGATATGAAAACATGGTTAAAACGCATCATTACCTTAGCACAACGCGCGATCCAACGAATTTCACGGGTATACGTCGATATAGAGAACACTGCGATGCTGTTGCGAATTCGAGTGGCACTGCAGCGCACACGGGCCACTACTATATAGCCGTTCGATAACCGACACTGTACTGTTCACTGTGGCTAATCGATAATCGCTAAATACCAATCACTAATATGAAAGTTCACAGTACTACTCTATAATTGATCGAGCAACGAACGGACGAACGAACTCAACTCATGTCGCTGTCCGCGTCCTTTCGAAACGCGAATATTATTATACAATGCGCAAGAGTGCACAACCTAGCCTTATTTGGACATTCCTTTTGTTGAGACGTTTTTTTTTGGCGCGCGACTCGCTCGGATGCAGACGACGGAAGTTTTGATCCGACCGTCGTTTTGGCGCTCGTAATAACGCATCGAGAGACCCTGTATTATCAGCCGTTTCTCGACTATATCTCGAACTCCATTATATTATACACGTATAGAGCGTACAGTACGGTCATCAGTCGTTCAAACGCCTCGGGCTAGTTATAGTGAGTAGGATAGATATGTACTGCTCAGAGTTCGCTCCTTTGACGCTCCGTGCAGTCGGTTGATATTTCGGGAGAAACTGATTAACTGTACAAGTTTAAATGTGAAAAAAATTAGAGACTTTGACGACGTTCTCAATCGAGTGTTACACGAATAACAAGTGTGTGTGTGTGCCTATATACGCGAGATAAAGCGGGAAAATCGGGGAAGAAGAAAAGAGTGTGGGTAGTCTCTGATTGGAGTAGTCCGCTCAAAGGCTCGGTCGACTAATTCGAATAAAATTCGAAAGGCTTTGTACGATTATTTAACCTATTCGCGCGAGCCTATCAGCGACTCTCTCAAGTTCTTTTTCTGCCCTCTCTCCTCTGCGCGGCAGGAAACGGCCGCAAACGCACGAAGAACGTCGAGCGCCGACGTTTCTTATTATATTTTACTATACATATTCGTTGCTGTCGGTCTTGCTGAATTGATATACGCGTTCAAAGCGCAAACCGTAAACTCGGACAATAAACTACGTTTCTCTCTCTCTCTCTGGTTTCGGTGGTGCATGCACATGGATACGAATATATATACAAATATACACAGCCGCGCCACATATACACGAGTACTACTGCAGCGCAGCACACCCACAGCAGTAGCCATTGATCTCTATTCGACAGGAAGAAGCTGCTGCTGCTGCGGAGCTGCTACAGTCGTGCTGCGTGTATATTAACTCGCTGCCTGTGTGTCTGTGCGGCCGTAGTAGGCTGCTGTATGCTACGTGACCCAAATTTATGTGCACGTAGGTAGTACAGCAAAGGGATCTCTGTTAGGTAGCGAGTGACCGACAGGTGCCGACGCCGCAGCAGCAAAACATACACGAGCCACCGCCAAGAGGTCCCGTGTGAGAAGCGCAAGCAAGAGTAGCTATCTCAACTAGTATAGTGTAATATATAGCGCCAGTGTCAGTGTGAAATATCGCGCCGCCGTTGCCCCCCCGGCCTCGATTTTGCGTGCAAAAGTGTCGTTGTTGTTTTACCTTTTTTTTTCTCTTTCATTTTTGCAGTTGAGTTTAGTTGAGTTGCGTTGGTGATTCAGTGATAATATATAGCTCGATTTGGCTATCGTTGTGATCCAGTGCCCAAGATAATGTACGGACAAGCAATGGCGGCGGCGCGTAGTCGCTGGCTCGTCGTACTGACGGCTGCACTACTCGTTCTACTGTCGTCGTCGTCGGCCGCCGCCGCTGCTGCTGCTGCTGCCGCCAATGTGGCTCCGCCGACCGACCAAATGCTCGAGGAGAAGACCAGCTTCGAAGCTGCTTTTCAAGGTAACCTTTTTTGTTTTCTATATCATTTATACAGCGAACGAAGTATGGAAAAAATAAATCATCTGCGATTGATCATCGATGCTTTCGACGTCGATAACTATTTTGAGGAATTTTAACAAGGCAAAACTCGACGAGGCAACGATTCGACAAAAAGAAGCTCTGCTCCGATGCGGCGTATATACCCGTAGTATAGGGTCTGTTATACTTCGCTTTGAAAATGGCAACTGCCAACAAACGTGCACATGAATATAACGCGCGCAATAATACTCGATTCACAATACAGCTAGGCGCCATTACAACAAGTTTGGTTCGGTCGCAGATACTACTACTGGCAGCGGCAAATAAAATCGTTGCGCTTTTCATTTGGACACGCGCGTATTCATGCGCACGTCGCGGGGCTTTCCTAGCCTACCTATAAGCTCTCTATATACAGTCTACTACTCTACTCGTCTCGTTGTTGTGTATCGCGACGGACTCGGGGGAGGGATGCTGCAACGGAACTCGATGCCGCCCCGTTAATATGCAAACTTGGCGCTGTTGCTATTTATAATTGCAGTATACAGTCACAAAGTACCCGTGAAAGTACCCGTTCCGTGTTCTGTACTTATATTTTCGCCGGCTTTCTCTTTTGGTAAACAACAAGCCGTATGCTGCTCTCAAATGGCTCGCGTGCTTAGACTATATATAGGAAGATGTCCTAGGCGTGTATGAAAACATACGAAAAGGCGTCGGCATCGTACGAGCGAGAGAGAAGTTGCTCTCTTTAGCTTCTCTTCCTCGCACAGTGGTGAGTCTGTGAATTCAAGGAGGTATAGGAGCACACGTTTCGCTCGGAAATTGCATTCGGGTTTTGCCTGCCGCTACGTGCGTGCGCGGCGCCGCGCTATATATACCGTTCCACTACTACTTGGAAACTATCTAACGTCGAAGCCTCGCAGCACAGCCCGAGAAACGAAGCTTATTATGCTACAGTTGTTTTGCCGCTGCAGTGTCGTGCGCATCGACGCCGCCGCGACCCAAACGGTATTATCGCCTTTATAGGTATATGTATGTACGTCGTATCTTGTAAATTTAGATATATACGTGCGCTCGCCTTTCGTACATTTGAGTTCGCGCGCGAGCTTCGGCCGGGAGCGTAGCACTTTGAAACTATATAGTGCCTATCCGTCGAGGCGCGCTGCACACTATACCCTCGTGTTTATGTCATATTGATCAAATTTGCATCCCGAGAGCTGCGCTCCCCCGACTTGCGCTAGTATATCTACGTTATGTCTTGATAGGCCCCGTTAGACATACGAAAATGCCATTGAATAACTATCGCGATCGATGAATCTCATTTGTCTTGGCGTATTCAGAGCTGTATATAGTCCAACACTTGTATAGTAGTCTTTGAATGTTTCATCGCTTCGACGTGCTTGATTTTCCGCTCGGTGTTTGTTTTTTCTCGTTAATACCCAAAAGCAGCGATTAATCCTCTTCGCTATGTCGAGCCGTTGAATGTTGCAAACTGACACGACGTGCATATCTCTCGAGCTTACTCGATACTCCCGCCCGCCAAAATCATAAACCATTGCCTGTGCACAGAGGACTCTCCTCTCTTACAGGATCCGTAATCTGCCCATGTGGGTGGTTATGTTTTTGAGCACATTAAATATGGCCGATGTTTTGCAAATAATAGGCTTACATATAGGCGGCTTTAAATGAGAAATAAATTATGAGCAGTACGAGTGCGCTCTGAATTAGTAGCCGCCACTGCTACTACTACTACCACTGCTGCTACTGCTGCTGATGTATATAATATATACATTACAATATTAAGCATGCATATATTACGATGGAAATAACATACGCAGCCGTTTATTCAAGTATTCGGGTTCTCTCTCTCTCTCTCGCCGCTTCGCTATTGATTTTCCCTCTCGCGCGCGCCTTGTTTAACTAGCTTAGGTCTATTGTGTAGTTGATGCTTATACACCGTGTGTGTGTGTGTGTGTGTATGTGCGTATGCTGAATGCGTACGTCGGTGCGCACACATCCCTCTATATACGCATCACACGCCCCGTGCGGAATCAATGGATTATATGCACATCGCGCAGCTGCTAAAATCACAAATAAGCCATCGGCATAAAGGGACGAGATCGAGCGCCGCTGCTGCTGCCTATAACGACGTCCACATCGTGATTCCGTAATTTTACCTTCGCCCGAGTTTAACCAACTATATAGATTACCTCACAGATTTCTCGTTCTTGATCGTCGCGTTACAATTGCTCGATCGAGCTTTTTTACGTGGTCGATTTGTATGGAATGTGTACGATTTAACTGCGAAAATAACTGCGCTGGACTTTTCACGGATATTTGAATTAATAAATAAATACCCTTGCGTATATATACGAGGCATCGTTTTTAAAAGCTACTGCAGCATAATGCAGCTGGTTATTTTCCACGAAGAACGCGGAACATTAACGCCTCGCCGAGTCATGCATATACATATTTAATGACACGAAACATCCAGAAGTACAAGCGCACTCGGACGTAGAAGTGAGCTTCGGCCAGAGATGGTCCATTTGAGAATGGCCATAGAGCAATTAATAAATGTCTTGGCCTCGTGCAGCTATATCGCACTCTCTACATACAGACACGTGACAGTGTGGCGTTTAAAGGGCCAGAGCTATGCAAGAACGATCGTATCCCCGGCTAATACCACTATAATTTCGAGTGTAGTTGCTATATCGTAGTAGTCGTTGCTGCTGCTGCTGCGCTCTCTCTCTCTCTCTCTCTCTCTCGGGTCATTCTGGAGAAAGCACCTCCACGTCATGGGTATACCTATATACAGACGTATGTGGCTGTAGGCAGCTAGAGCTGGATATGTCTCGAACAATGCTTCTTATTGCTGTGCGCCGTTGGCTTTAATTAAGGACTCTCTAGACTGCAGACAGCAGCAGTAGCTTGCACCTGGAGGCTGCTCTTATATATATTTTTCTGCTCCTTTTTTCCCTCGCTGCGGGGCAAAAATAAAGCAGCGTTTCGCGAGACCTTGTAATATGGCCGATCGCTCCACGTACTACTTTCTGCCTTTAAGACTAGCTTTGTGACTTTCCATTATCGCGATGGTGCGCCTCTTATAGAGCCCCTCGATTGCGCGCTGTAATTTTTTTCCCGATATTTATCGTCGATACCATCCTGCCCGATCAAAATGAATTTAGATTGCATTTGATTTAACTCTGACTCCGAAACTTGAAACCCTCGTTTGTACATGATACCGAAATCACATCTACGATAATAACAAATAAATCGAAATTATAGGTATTAATTTTAACTTCGCTCCAAATAATTTTTCATTGCTCCGTTCTGAATTATGCCACCCATCATGCAAGCTCGGCAAATAATTGTAGAGTTACAGGTCCATCACATTGACTTATTACAGTATAAGCAAGACCCATTAATAAACCGGGTTAATGGGTAGAGAACAATTTATCGAAAAATCCAATTTCAACCGCGGTTAAGAAAAGTGCCATAAAAAAAAAACAAACAAACGCGCAACTTTTATTTTCATAATTCAAGCTTTCTCGCTGTCGTAAAAAATATATTCGTGCCCCTCCATCATCGCTAATAACAATAACATCAACGCAGGGCGCAGCGGCACTATGAAATGGTCCTTGTGAATAAAATATAAGCAATTTTACGCCACCGGCAAAACACAGCGACTGCCTTTCACGCATAAAATTAGAAAGCAGCTGCGCGCGCGCGCGCCTGCACCTGATGACTCTCTTTTCTCTCGCCCTTGCGCAAGCTCCTCCGCTCGACGATCCATTGTGCTGTGCTCGCACATGGTACTACGAAATTTTCAATTTCTTTGCGCGCGCGCGCGCACGTGTCTGCCAGGGCTTTTGCAATTCTTTTTTTTTCCTTTTCTTGTCTTTTTTTTTTTTTTCAAGAATCTTCGCAACATTATCAGCGGCAGAAGCGAGTGTGAAACGGCACAGGGAGAGAGAGCAGCAGGCTGCTGCACTCTTGACAGCAAATGCACTCGCGCACTCGGGTGAGGGGGGTGAGTCTCTCTCGCAACCGGTTTATGTGCGGGTATAGCTTGATGGAGATGAAACACGAATACACGACACTCGTTCTCATCCTTGCCGCACAAACTTTTACCTTCTTTTAAAAGCTCTTCAATTGCTTTTCGTTTCCACTGCTGCACCGTAGATATATACGTCTGAGATCGTCTTTTGTCTCGAGTATAATACGCGCCTGCAAAGGTACATTTTCTTCTCTCTATCTATCTATCTCTCTCCTTTTTTTTGTAGCAACCAACGACTTTGGTTTGTGCATTCAAAGCAAGTGCATTTTTTTCACCGCCGAGTCACTTGATATCGCGTGGCTCGTGCTCGTTGGAATGCAATAAATAAATAATTATCGCTTTATTTAACGTCAATGCAAATCTCGATCGCAACAATGGACACGATCGAACAACGAGATGTTGCATTATATTCAAGGACAAAATCCTTCTATTGTTTGGTCTAAAATTATTTTAGAGATGCTCGAGCGGAGACTCGTTTAAAAGTCTAGCGTTTCACTCATTGTTGAAACAGTCCTTGTGTTATCGTAAAAAAATGTCGAGAGCTCTTGTAACCTAAAAATGAAATCGAATGAATTGAGAACTTGAGTTTGTCGAGCTGTATGAATATGATGCATTCGCAAAAAAGCTTGTTAATCTCTAAAACGATTTATTTTGAAAATTAAACAAATTTATCGAGTAGCTGTAGATTATATAAAATCGTCCTATGCGGGTCAATGAAAAATATTTGATTGTACAAAGCAAATTACATTTAATTGGCATAATTTAATTCTGCTTCACTGCATCTATTTTCTCATTATAGTGATCGATTTTTTATAATTTTCATAATTTTTATCACATTAACTCTCTTTCACTAAATGCAATTGATTATTCGAATCAATGCTTTAAATTTCACATCCGTCCATTGATGTTCTAATTCACGCTCAAGCAC